CTGCTCTGAGAGAATCCCATCCGTAGTAGCTCTAACGAGAGCGTCCCCTAAAACATTTTTCTCCTAAACTTAAAGGTCAACTAATTTAATCCAAGACCAATATGACGACTGTGCTGTATTTACTTAACGTGGAAGTTCTTGTGCGGCGTCCGATAATTAAAGCGAATAAAGAAATATCAGACAAATGACTTTGATTTCATTGCAACTTACTTTAACGTATTGCCTGCGCGTGTAACCATTTGAGCGCTTGCGCAAAGTAAGTCGTTACCCAACGTTTCCTACGCTTTGTGTAAATTAAACATTCATGTATAAGTGTTTACCTCTAAATATTATAACCCGCGTGCAGGTTAAGTTCCAACATTGCTAAACGAAAACAATACTATACATCTGTCGAAAAGTCCTAATTTTACTTCATTGTAATGAAATTTATAATGCAAATCTTACAACAGAATATTCCGCCAATTCTCAAAGTTTGCTTCTATAAATAGAATTACAACAAAATTCAATTGTATTTTCTGATTTATTTTGCTGTGTACTTACGTGTGTTTGTCGAAGGTAAGAGTGGTTTATTGAGTAAAGACATCGCGATAGAAATGTTACTGTTACCTTTCGCCAAGGTTTATTGAAGTTGTAGTAATGTATTGCTCATGGAAGCGTATTGTTTCCGCACATCCTTCGCGTGTAATAATCGCCGAAACTTTGTAAACAAAACCTTGATCAGCTAGATGGCGAATAAATTTAGTGGTGTATAAAGGTAGCTAGCAGATACAGACCTATATTGTTAGGTTGTGTCGTGATATTAGGGCATACTGGTTCTGAAAGAGCAATCTCGAACTGAAACTACTAATAATACCACTTACGTATCGAAATGTAATGCTACATATATCATGAGAGGATAGCAGCTATGCAAGGGTGTGCAACAAGCGGCCCACAACCTGACCCGCCTAGTAATTTACTGTGGCCCTTGTCAGGTATTTTGTGTGGCCCAGTTTAATGTGTGAAATTAGTTGTATGGCCCCCCGACATCCCTGAGCTATAGGTTCTACTGCTGAGTTACCGCTGTATTGGACTACCATTGCTTATATAATAGTATTTCATATTCTTTATAGATAAAATATGACTCATAGACCTCAACATCAAAAGTTAACCATATCGTCATCAATTAATTTGTACCGACTAATATATAAATTTTTGTGATGCGCTTGCATATATATTCTATGTCAAAGTAAAGAATCTGAAAGATCCAATTTGTTGCTACAATATTCTTAACCTATCAATTTGGCGTCGTTTAGTTATACAGGTGGCGCAGTTCAGATGGCAGAGACAGATCCTGCTCAATTCAGCGCTCGAACCAAGCAACTCATAGATATTAGATAATGCGTTTCGTAAGCACCAAGTATGAGTGTGTGTGTATACATTGGTATGACGATAATACTTGTTTAAAGCAATAATGTTAAATTTCTCAAGAATATTCTTCGAGTTAACTATTTTTAAAATGGAATCGTCATAAGAAAGGATGAATAGGTGGGTGTGTATAAATTCAAGGCTGTTTTCGAATATTTAGAATTTAAACATATATATTTACATATTATTTACTGTTGGGTAAAGTGTCGTGTGTTTTGAATAGTTTATCCATATTCATTTTCTGGTTTGTCAAGTATTCTTTGTTTTGCAATAATACATCGTTCTATCATATTTATGACATCTGAATGATCCTTCAAATATCTCAAGTGGAACAAATATTAATGTCACTATACGTTTTCGTTGTCATCGGAAATGACTGGCCAAGTGCGATATCTCGTGTATTTGTAACTTTATTTTATCAATATATAAGGCCATGCTTAAGAGTGGGTTACAGGGTATACCTGCTTTCGTTATTAAAGTTCCCAAGCATCGTACTGTCCAAAAATTTGTCGAATAAAGCCTGAATTTAACAGTAAATTCAAATAGTATTTCCTTTGATATTTAGATGTATTTCAGGTGTTCAATCGCTCAAAAAAAATTAACGAGTCGTCAACCAAATTCTGAAATATTTACAATAGAAAAGTTATAAGCAAACTGTATTCTACAATCTACAATACATATTGTTGTTTCAGGCACGCCAGTAAATATCGATTGTTATCGTTATTTCAGGCGATAGTTACGTTAGTACAGGCTAACACGTGTAGGCAGGACCTAAACAACCTAAATGTTATGGTACTACACGATTGTTTCCCGTGCTGGCTGAAGTAACGAGTGCTGAGCAGACAGACGAGGCCGGGATGCTATCTAGCTTTTCATTTTCGGTGGGTGGCTCGAATAAAATTACCGAGTCGTCAACCAAATTCTGAAATATTTACAATAGAAAAGTTATAAGCAAACTGTATTCTACAATCTACAATACATATTGTTGTTTTAGGCACGCCAGTAAATATCGATTGTTATCGTTAATTCAAGCGATAGTTTTGTTAGTACAGGCTAACTAGCTTAAGGCGCTTACTAGCTTTTCATTTTCGGTGGGATGTTCCCAAATTAGGTGGCGGTAGATATTTTGCTATCAGGGATAAACTATTGGTAACTAGAATAAATATGTTACGTATTCAACTGGCCATCTGCACTGTTGTGTACTGCACTGTTTGAATATTCAAATATCATTATATTCAAGTCAGGAATGAAAGTTTGGCGACACACCTTTTATGTAAGAAGAGATTGAAATTTTAGGAGGGATGTTTACCCCCTAAGGAAGAAGTGGGGGTGTAGGGAAATCACTGGAAGAAGCGATAGGCTTTTTGTTATATTGAGACTTCTCACAGTATATAAGCATCAAGTCTTAGAGCGAGTGTAGAATATAATATTGTTGCAGATTTACGGTCAAGCACACGTCAACTGGAATGGATGAAAACTTGAATGAAATATTTATAATTAGAGTTTCGATGATTTAGCTTGTTTGTACACCTTTAAAATATTTGATACCAAGTTTATTGTGAATGAGTAGACACGCGTGCTAGGCAGACAAATGAAGTTTATCTTCTTGTATTATGATTATTCTCATTTAACAAACACCAAATCGGTCATGATCCTTAATGACCTCAAACCGTCCCACACGTCAACTGGAATGAATGAAAACTGAATGAAATATTTATAATTAGAGTTTCGGTGATTTAGCTCGTTTGTACACCTTTAAAAAATTTGAGACCAAGTTTATTGTGACTGAGTAGACACGTGTGCTGAGCAGACAGATAAAGTTTTATCTTCTTGTATTATGATTATTCTCATTAAACAAACACTAAATCGGTCATTAATCCTTAATGGACTCAAGCCGTCCCGTCTTTTTATCTGAATACGTGGCGACATGTTTTAAATTCATTTTCTCCAATATGTATTCCGATTTATATCAATACTGTATATTTGTTCTATTATTAATAGCTTGACCTAGTTTGTACGTGTTTGAAACAGGTATGTAAACATTCTCAGGATTTCGAAATGAAACACTAGCAAGTTACGCTTCCGTGGAATGTAAAATGGTTAGTGGTAGAATTACAGGGTGTCCATAGAGTTTCTTTACAGTTTCAATTTTGTTATGAGGTCAGTTCTCAATATATCTTAATCTTAACCAGGTTTGGTATTTTTTATTCAGTAATTGTTTAAGTATTTTTACTTCATTTAATAAACTGGTTCTCAACCAGTGGACCATGGCCCACTGCTGAGTCACAGCAACACTTGCAGGTGGGCCACAAACTTATTGAAAATTGCTAAAGTTATTGATAAATTAAGTTTCATTCGTATTACTATAGTTAAATTGCAATGGCAATGGCAATGAATGATGGTGCTGTCTTTTGCTACTGAGAAGTAGTTTTCGTTCTAATTAGTAAAATGAAAGTGTCGATCGTTGCGGACATAGTTTTTTTTGTAGTTTTTCTCTTGCATAAGTTAATGGGCCAGAGAATTTTTCTGCAACGAAAACGGGCCACGAAAGTAAAAGGTTGAGAACCACTGATAAATACATCTGAGGGCCAAAACAATATATGATATCCATAAATTCCCTTTGTTATTTTGAAATTTTTTAAAGACTTTATGGGCACCCTATAAGGCCCATATGTTGCGAGTACGAGAAAGAACTCTGTTATATATTCTGAATTATGTTGCGTAAAGTGGAAGAGGTTAAAAAGCCAATGTAGGGATTTGATGTGATATAACAGACAAACAGTTAAAGCACTTTCACGTTACATGAAAAACTGTCGCTCATCGTAATTTCATCCGGCTCCCTCACTCAGGTAAAATGAGATTTATTTAAATATTTTCTCATAATACAAACTCATAAACGCTGTGCAATAGAAAAGTTCATTTGTCTTAATTAATTTCTACCTTAGTTTGCTCAAGTTGTTTATTTTGTTCTGTGATAATTCACAGCCTAGCTATGCATAAATATAATGAGTATACCAGGCGAGAACTTGAAAACACAAACTGAAACGATTTCGATAAGATCAACAACACAACCGCAAGATGGCGATGAAGACATCGATATTTCGCCAACTGAAAGCGCTCCTCCAAATATGGCAGGTAAATTGATGAAAAATATACATCGTTAGATGTCTTTTCAGACAGACAGGAAAATTAAACTTTTCGGGAAAGGTCAATTTGTAATTTCTACTAATACACTCAAAATACTGTATATTTATTTCAATATGCGAATTTTTGATTTATGGAATTATACTCCTGTATTACACGATAAAGTCTTCTATATTGTAATTGGAAACTGAAGGAATCGAGTAACATAACCCCATGTTCATATTGAAATGATTACGCGCTACGTAGCTATTCTTACTGAGCCCCGCTTTTGCTTTTGCTGAAGTCCTACAACTGCAATTGTATTTTGATCAGTAACTTTTCTACGGTAATAACATTGGTAACTTGTGTATAAATATTTCTCGTTTACCTTTTTAAGTTAATTTTGAAACGATTGCTGTTATGTAATCACAAATCTTCATATTTCCATATTTTTCAGACCAATCAACGGAGTCACACCAAAATGACATAAAACCGAGCAGTCAAACTGAAAGTTTGTCGCTTAAAGAACGAATATTGCTTTTCCAAATGATGAAAACACACATCTCAGAATCAACGGATAGTGGTAAGTAGGGCTGGGCATTCTGAATCAAATAGTAAATTATTCGAAATGAATCCTTGTTTTTTTATTAATGTCGAAAAAATTAACAATTCGATTCGGAAATTATATATTCAAAAATATCTACTGGTAAATGATAAGTATGTTCTTACATTCGACACCAAGGAAGTTAAATAGAATAAGAAATTATTTTAGAATCTGGGCACAACTAATTCTATTCCGCAAACAGCATTGAAACAAGTGCATACATTTTTTTTTAGATTAAACATCGACTAAGCGCTTAAAAAATCACATTTTGTACAAATCGTGACGGATACGGACGTGAAATACGTCAGCAGGGTCAAATGTCGCGATTAGGTAGAGCGTTGCTAGATTTCAAGACGCAGAACCCCACAACCTGAACATCTAATTCTAACCTAAATATTCCGTTTATTTCGGGCATACCCTTGAGGTTCATGACTGACAGTCATAACAAAACCGAAACCCTCGACCGTGAAATATTTCTCAAAAGAACAATGAAAAGCATTGGCCTATTTCCAGTACTTGATATTACAGCAAGTACACTCCACCTCACACAGAGATAGGTTATTAATAATAGAAATGGAATTTGATTTTGAACAAGTATATTCAGAGTATTTATTCAATGAGAATAAATTTTTGTGGGTTATTAGGAAAACAGTATTGTAGTGTATATACTTAGATCTCAAAATAGACAATACTGCGTTGGGGAAATAGTTCAGAAACGATGAAAAGATCAGAAGAGGAGGAGATAAAAGCTGGAAAAAGTTTAGTTTTATGAAATTTTGCTGTCCAAGATGTACGTTTTTGACATGACATTCCTCCAAATAATATGTTTTTTTCAATTTTTATTGAAAAAAGGCAAATCAGGTTAAACCAGTAATGAGATGTTATGAGAATAGAATGAGAAGAAGAATTGGAAAGTGTAAAAATAAAAAAACCTATTTAGAAAAAAAATTCTTAAATATGACAAGGCCAGCAGAATAGATGAAAACAAACCTATTGATGACGTTCAGAATAAAAAATTCTTGCTATTTCGTACGTTTCTATATCCATTATATATTGACAGCATTTGCATTTAATGCAGTTTTCAAATTCTTTAAAGTCAATTTTATTAAGAAGTCAAACAAAGAACCTAAACAAGAAATATTTTATTTAGTTGCCGGTGATCAAATCCTCTTATTGAACCCAAAATTAATCATGACGCGTGCAAAGCAAAGTAATGTTTAGTTTATTTTTCTCAATATTGTTCACTATCGTCTGGTTAATAACATGTCACTAGTTCATTCAGTACTGATAACTCTCAATGATATACTTTACCTCAAAAATAACCCCTTGCTAAAATCACAAATTTGACCTGTTGTTTTGTTTATATTGACGTCGAGTAAATTGTTTTTACGAGCTGGACCTTCCCTATTCTGTAGAATGTCTTTTATAAACACAAATATTTCGTTATCGACTTATTGACGCGATATTGTGATTTTTAAATAGAATTTAGATTGAAGGGAACCTGTTGGTTAGGCTGTACCACAATCGGTACTACTAAACCCATTTTTGAGATTAGAAGGCTTGTAATTAGAGACAGAAAACACCATAAGACTATATATATATGGTTAGACTGGACACACAGGACCTGAGTTCCACGGCAGCATATCGAATGACGTAAGACTAAGTTGTGGAAAGACTGGACCTAATTGAAATAAAATGAACTTCATTTCAGTGTCAAGCACGGAAGAAGCATTACTACTGTATGTAAATGAAATTTTATGATATAGTCTGTGTAAGGGAAGAGGGACGGATATAAAACTTGGTTGCAAACGGTCGGAATGGGAAAAAAGAATTCGTGTGTAGATAGAGAAATTCATGGCAAAATTGGTTGTTTTCGAATTTTTTTTTCCTCATGACACCTATAATTGTCATCCGTAACTCCTACCTTTATGAAACATAATGACGAATAATACAAAACAGCGCATCTACGAGATTATTTTAGTTAAATAACTGACTTTTTATTGCATGAATTCCGGGATCACGTACACAATATAACGCGTTCAATTATGGGTTGATATATCATAATAATACGGATCGTCAACTCAAATAATATACTGAACGACGCGATATTTCCCATGGATGGCGAGATTCGACTGTTTTATAAATATCATATATATCATTTTATTTTTGAGAAAAATGGCACTTTTGTTGAAATAACTCGACCTCGCGATTACATGTAATAACGTGGTGATCTGATATGCTGAGGATTTGAATATTTTATTAATACAGTATTGGGTGCCGGGGTGACCGATGCGATTTTTGGAAAAACATTTTTGCGTTATTTCTCAGTTGGTTACTCCCGTAGTATGTGTACCAGGTTAGGTTCAGGCCATAATTTTATTTCCATTTTTCTTATTTTAGTTTTATTACGAGTTTGGGGACTGTCTGTGTTAGCCAAGTGAATATACCCCCTGCTCATAGGCTTCAGTCCATTTACACAACTTGATGTAAAGTAGGCGAACAAAATGAGTTACCTCCATATTGGTACACATACTTCTGGAACGCCCTCAGTTATGCATTGGGGTAAAATCACAGGTTTTAATTTCGGGCTTCTATGTTTGAAATATCTTGATATTCAGCGTTCTTGTTTTTGTTTCTGACGTCAGACGACTTCGGCAAATGGGTTAGGCGCACCGCCGCTGACAACTATCGTTATATTTGACGTTTCGAAATAAAGGCAATAGATTTAGGCAAAGCGTGTCAAGTTAATGGAGGTAGTGACATACATACATATAGTATCTGGAATGAGAGATCCTGCTGGATATACAAAGCCCCCGATAAAATATTATTTCGCCAGTTTGGGTTAGAAATTTAAAATGCGCTGGAAATTTAAATTTTTAAATCATCTTTAGCCCTGACTGGATAATTACTAATTTGTTTTTTGAAACGTGGCGATGGTATTTTTCTCAAATATCACACTTTTGCATTAGTGACGGGGGTTTTGTACAAAAGATCATTGTCTTATAGAAATGAGGTTGATGCAAGGCCTTTTATTTCAAATTTAATCCATTGCGTACATAATGACACACATATATTTTTTGAAATGCGAAAACCTGTTTTTGTTGGTTTCGATACAAAAAAGAATTCGTTCCTATAAATTGGAATCCAACTTCTACATTTATCGTTAATCGCATAGAATTCGTAATGACCGTATCTTAGGCCTCGCTTTCGTCGCTCATAATTGAAAATAGCCTACTCAAAAATAAAAACAAGTTCGTGGCTTTGAATAGCATCGTTTGTGTTTTGTATTGAGTTTGAATTTGTGTTGAAAGCGTTTGTTTGGCTTCTTCTATGGTATGCAGTTAATGATTTGTCCAGGAAGGCCGACGTATATAGCAGGGGATTACTTTGTGATTAAATATAGTCGTGAAAGTGAAAGCATTCGTCAACAACACATGAATGTCATTCAGTGTGACGGAATTCATCGGCCCGTGCCCTAAAATGGTTTAATTGCATCGCACTTTGACACTATTATCATTATCTTTGTGAATTTTTGATTATTGGTATCCACTATAATAAGCCTTAATACACCACGTCAAATAGATAGGAGGCATATCTGCACTTAATTGTTTATGATCTTCATTTATTGTAAAATTTTAGTTAAATTACATCAAATTTCTTACAGTGTGGCTTGTGCAATAAAAAGTCAATATTTACAGCAGTAAATCCAGCCCTTCCCCATCAGTGTACTTAGCTTTTATTAGTTTTGTGACTCTGTGGTGTGCTGGTGCTTTGTCGGGCTGTCGCGTAAAGTTATAAAGAAAAGATCGTGACGTTCGTGCCTTTTTAAAATTAAAAGGCTGTATTTTTCTGAAATAGTTTGATAGAGTTGGTTAGAGATATCTTGTACAGCTAACTATAAATTTTTGATGAATCAAATAGATGATTTGCTTTTTATGAACAGTGATATCAGTACATAGTTTCCGGTACTGTTTAGAATAGTTAATTGTTTGTAAAATACAGTGTTGACTGAAAACAGAGAGAGACAGACGAAATATAAAGTTGATAATGTTTAGGTAAGATGTCGATAAGAGAAGCGTGTTAGATAAAATTCCAACTGAATACCTTTTTATTATCATTTGACTTAAAGTTAGTATACTAGCCGTAAAGTACCAGGACATGGTGAAAGCTATAGATAGAAATCATAGAGATTATAGAGTCGGACCTAACTACACAGGGGTAGTGCATTCCACATGTCCATCATTTTGATCAGTGGACATTGGCTTATCGTGATCTTTGTAAAAGAACATATATCTATCTCTAAGTTTGTTATTTGCGCCAATTTTATTTTGAACCCATGTTGGTAGGTATCCGTTGTCATAAAAACAATTTAAACTTTCATTCTTTCTAGGCTTTCTAAAAATAGTATTCATATAACAGACTCTTGAAACGCATTCTGAAAAAAGTATCCCCAGACAATATTTTTCAGTTAACATGCAAATTAACTAGTAGTCATCAAAATGAAGAAAAAAAATTAATGTGCTACTTAATTAACTATTCAAAACTGAGATAACTCGACTCTGTTCATGTTATCTAAAGTAGCGAAATTGTTCAACTTGGCTCTGCCCACACACATCACAACTGAGTCGGTTAGAATTAGGACTCTTTTCCTTTGAGTGATAACCGCGAAATATTTCAGAAATTCCATTATTATTTGAAAAATATGCTTGTCCCGATGAAATTAGAAAAATGAAAAGATATTTTGTTGCCTAATTTTGCAATATCAATTGCGATAAAACACAAATATAAATTGCGATGAAAATAAAACTTGCGATAAAAAAAAAACTCGGTTTCCCGATTTTCGAAAGCTATCTTCAATAATAAGAGACCTTTGTCAAACCTATAAATCAATCGTAACAGGAAATTCTCTTCAATTTTCCTAGATATTACTGTGTTTTGTACTGTTCTAGATGAGCAGTCTAATTCGTCGGATATATCAACCGGATCTGAAAATTGTAGCCCGGATTTAAAAGATCGACTCCGGATTAACCAAGTGAAATTACAAGCCTTGCTTAAAAAGAATCCATTGGATAACCAAAAGTGTGACGTAACAAAGGCTGAAGAAGATTCTGGTACGTTTGTATTTTTTATTGTTTACGTTACGTTTTACAGTTTAATGTGGCGTTTCATTCATTGGTAAGGTTTTGAATACTCGAAATTAAGTACTCCCGAAGTATGTGAACCAAGATGGCGGATACCGGAACGTATTATGTGTACCAGGTTGAGGTTAGACCATAATTTTATTTCAAATTTCCTAATTTTAGTTCTATTACGAGTTCGGGGACTAGCCAAGTGACTCCCGTAGTATTTGAAATTTTGGTTTAACCCTGACCTGGTACATGTACTACGTTCCAGTGTCCGCCATCTTGGTTCACATACTTCAGGAGTACCCAAAATTCAAAGGGTGTTTTATGTGAATTACAGTTATTAAACAACTATGTACGCCTAAAATGATCTCTGATAAATGTCAAGAATTTCCAAAAGCTCGACATACATTATGAGCTTAATCTAACTATAAAAAATTACATAGGTTGCTTGAAAACTGAAAAATACGCACTACGCAATGTTCTTTATAAGAAAACAATGTCTTTCGGGTTGTTGGCTTTTAGCACATAATACACATGCTGGGGAGATCTTCGTCTCTTAAAGAGTATTTATCTCATGGCGATAGCTTTGAAGATTATCATTTAAGCTAACATGAGATTATCATTTAAGCATAACACTAAATGTACTGAATTAGTGGAATAAAAAGCGGAAAATTAACAAATATCTCAATGTAAGAGTTGCTAACGGTCTCATACCAAACATTCTTAGACAAAAACCATGAAAGTACTGTTTACTCCAGGTTATCTTTACTGATTTTTCGAATTGTATAACGTTAGTAAAGTAAATTCGATGTTTACTGAGAATGATACTGTAGTATCGCAACCGGTTGCAACTTCGACGTGTTGATTTAGTTTTCTCATTAATCGAATACTAGATACCTATAGCGCAGTAGTTCTCAAACTTTGAAAACTTTTAGAATTTGTCAAGTCTCGCTTCCCATTTCAAAAATAACTAGCTAACAATAAGCTACAAATAACAGATAGCAAGTCAAAAAACACGTTGAAAATACGTATATGAAACGTAAATATTCCATATAAAGAAATTCAAATATCCAACTAGAGCGGGCAAGATCAAACCTAACAATTTTTTTTTCAATTATCTTTGCGTCCCTCAAAAAATGGTCTGCGCCCCCCTTGTGTGATGCGCCCCACCCTTCGGGAACCACTGATATAATGCATACGAAACCCCATATGAATGAAATACCTAATGGTTAAATCATTATAAAGTCCACTGGTTATTTTAAAAATGGTTTGCTTTTCACACGGACCAAAAGGTATAATTGCATGTTGAGGCAAATATGTACGAGAAACTATCTCGCTTCTAGTTAAGTTTGGGTTTGTGCATTGAATAAATAGACTGTTTGTTTGATAGATTATTTAAAATCGACATGTTTGTAAACCGTCATTCACAGGCAGTCATATATGATTAATAATACTATTCAATTTATGATTTTCAAATTGATAGTTTTCCTAGTTCGGCCTATTGCGCAAGCTAGAATGTCTCGTTTGAGCTGATTTTCAATCTCCAGTTATGTGTTATGTAGTGCATATGAAAATCGATGTAAAATAAAATACCCAACGGTTAATTTAAAACGTTCGTAAGCTACAAATACTCTTTTGGCCGATTATAAATACCTCTGTATTTGACAAATGAAACCCTTTATAAAACTAAAAGATTCAGCCGCGTCCTAAATTATTTAATGTCGTTGAAGGGGGCGAATCATGGCGATTTTAGAATATATATCAGAATAGTTGAAAAACATATTAATTTCTTTTCATCTCTGAATTGAATTTTCCGATAATATTGTCACCGAATCGTGAAATCTCAAATAAGTTATTCGTTTTTATAAAACAAAATCGAATCCTTGGTATTCTCCCGGCGCTCCAGATGTGTGTGTACGTACCAATATGGAGGTAACTAATTTTGTTCGCCTACTTTACATCAAGTTGTGTAAAGAAACTGGAGTATATTGGCAGGGGGTATATTCACTTGACAAACACAGTCTCCGAACTCGTACTAGAACTAAAATTAGGTAAATCGAATTGAAATTATAGCCTAACCCTAACCTGGTACACACACTAGGGGAGTATCAGTCTACATGCCATAAAATGTAGGGCGAAATGTGCTAAGTCACAAGTTGGTTCCATTTCAAATGAGATATAAACGAGTTTGTAGTTCGTTTCAATTGATTTAGAGAATTTACAAAATGCGCGTAAATGTTTTTAAAATTACAAAACCAGCATAGATGGGTGGATTATAATTCACGAGTTTAGGTACGTCCCATGTACGGCCTTTGGTAAATCAATTTTTGTACTCATTCAACGAGTTACAGCCCCGACCTCATGGTTAATCATTTCCCAACTGGGAAACATTCTCTGCACATGAGTACTTGTTTATGACGTTATAAAGATTACTTTATGCTTTATGACAGTATCAATAAATAGTAAACTAGGAATACCGCTCCAATATTAAAAATAAAGTTTAATTCCAATTTTTTCGATTTGATTTTCTTTTCATATATATTTCCATATACTTAGTTTCTTAGAAACAATAAGGTATAAATATGATAGTAGTAGGCATAGTAACTTGTAAACATAACATAAAAAGCATACACAACAATTCATTAAGTAGAATTGTCACCAAATCTCGAAAACTTTTTTTTTTGGAGGGGAGGGACATGGTCAAACCATTATTGTATCCTTACTCATCTTTAATCATCATTATGTGGAATTGTCGCCCAAGTATCAGAAATAGAGATAAAAAATCGAAATTTGACTAATTTTTTTTATTTTAATTTACCTTCGTAGAGGGGACATGGTCAAGCCATCATTGTATTTATACTCAAAAGTATCTTATTCACAAAATTCATTTGAATTTTTGGAGTGTACGTGAACCAAAATTGATGACAATTTTGCTTTCTGTCATTTGAAAACGAAACTAGAAACTTTGTTCTCAATAACTGCAAAGTTCTAAGTAAATAAATGTCAACTGATTCCCATCCCTCCTTGAACACTGGTATGGTCGTATATAGATATGCTCGAAATACAATAATTCACGAAGTGAATTTGCATCAAGCAGCCAATACGTTCAAATTCAATTAAATAAAACTCAACTTTGTCGTCGTAAATGTGTAATTTATGTCTTGTAATTTGTGAACATCTATGCCTGAGGAATAAAGGCAATATCACCCATGTTCGCTAAACTCGGTTCAGCAAATATATATAAACAGAAGCTCAAGAAATTGCAGCAAGTAGTATCTATCTTTATGTTCTTCTTGAACACTTGTCAAAATTCTGTCGCGTATAGATACGCTTGAAGTACAATCACAATCCACAAGCACATCCGCGAAGCAAAATTGCACCAAGCAACTAACATGTCGGCAGTGGTGGGATTCAATTTATTTGTCGCCGGTTCCATCACAAAAGTCGTATTTTTCAGCCGGTTCTGTTACATGTTTATTTTAGTAATGCTAACCGGTTCGCTGATCTCATAAAATTCCGTGAGACGGTTCTGTAGAACCGGTGCGAACCGGCTGAATCCCACTACTGCATGCCGGGTATAATAGAACATGGTTGTGATTACTGTCTGTATCGTATCTCGAATTAAAATAGGATCATAATCTCCAAAATCTTAATTGTTGAACGATATAAGTGTGTCCATATGAAGTTCCTTTATAATTTTGTTGACCAGACTTGTTGTTTTTTGATCAGTAAATGTTTGAGTATTACATTTACTTCATCAAGTACATCTGTAGAGCTAAAACAATATATGGTAAATTTCCTTTGCAATTTTAAATTTTTCTAATGCTTTATCTTATAGACTAGGTCAGGATTTTATGTATTTTTAGGTCTTTCCAGCAAAATAGAATTGGGGGCAAGGAAAGGCCTGACATGGTAATAAATATTCCTCTTAAAATCTGTACCTTATGTGTAAATTGAAGATAGAACATTTTCCGAATTTGGGTCTCGCTCACTTACTAGACAATGGGTAAACGAAACATGATCATCGCCGAGTTATTTCTGACTTATTTGTAAATTATCAAGTTGCCTGCTAACCGGATCTGGTACCATTGTTCGCATTGTTTGTTTAGTCTTATGACGTCATAATCATTCACCTATGGGACGACGATAGACCGAGCGCAAAGAGCGAGATTTACTTCATGTCCATCCATGATTGTTGGTTTATAAAGCGCGTGAGTTTTTCAAAGCCAGCTTTGAATTTCAAACGTTCTCTGTCGCTAATTTTAAAGACAGCTTCACTGTTTTGATCTTTAATTTGTTGCTATCGAAGACAGTTCGAATTTCGGCGTCGGTGTAAAGATTGCCGGTTTTATATTTATTCGTTTGTCTAAAGTTTACCAGTTATGTAATCTGGATTAGTGTAATTTAACGATGAATAGATTATCTGAGAGTTATTTTATTTTTCGAAGAGGAATCATTATGTCATCAATGCATACATACTTTGTCGCATTTGTGTTGAAAATTATTGGATATCATTTGTTGCGTATTAGGAAAATATAGGAGTATATTGTTGCGACATAATAGTAAAAAAATCATATAACCGTTTCAATCGCCTTCTTGAATACGCCGATGGCGATCTCATATCTCATTGCAGATTTTATAATATACGGTACTCTTTCGAAAATTTGCTTCGAATAAGTTTTTTAATGTTATTCTCTATTAAATTTGAATTTTTATAGGCCAAATGTTTTTGCAAAAGCAATACAGAAAGGCCTGCCTGATTATAAGATGATAAATGAAGTGCAAATGTACACATTGAAAAGATAGGTTTGCTTATACATTCAATATTACAATGCGAGTTTCTATTCGTCCTATCAATATCCATTGTTTGTTCATGGACAGTTTGTAGAAATTCCCATTATGAGTCAACAAAAGCTTTGACAGGTTTTCGGGGATATTTACTTTTGGAATATCGTTTGAGTTTGTTTTGTCTGAAGAGATTCCGT